TTTAGTAAAAGGGCATAACAGCAGATTTGAACTGCAAACATAGAGACAAAAACACACACTTCATAATAAAAATGCTGAAAGTCAAAGAAAAGAAAAAAACTGTTGTAAGTAGCAAGAGAAAATGGCATATAACTTGCAAGAAACTTCCAATAAGAATAAAAGCTGACATTTCAGAAAAATTAACAGAAGCTAGGAGGCAAACTATTTTAACATATTCAAAATACTCAAAGAAAACCAACAACAACAAAAACTGTCAATCAAGTGTCCTATACTCATCAAAGCTCTCTTTCAAAAATGAAGGTGAAATAAACACATGATTCAATAAAGAGAAACTGAGACATACTCTTTCTTACTGCTCTGCCTTAAAGACATATTTAAAAAATTCTTTAGGTTGAAAGCAAGTTCTGCAAATGGTAATTATAACCATACAAACAAACAAAGAATATTGATAAAGTTAATTATATAATTATAAAGGAGACTATAAATTCATATTTTATTCTTCTCAATATAAACTGATTTAAAAAGCCATTGTATAAAATAATATGTGTAAAATGTATGCATATATGTTTAGAATAGACATATAACACATAGAAATGCAATATATGTGTAATATATCTGTCAATAACAGCACAGCAGTGATTGGTGGGCACAAAGCTGTAATGGGTTAAAAAAATGATGACAGATGATAGTCATAACAATAAGAATGTATTGTTGGGTTTTTAACACTAATTAAGGCATTACATATAACAATAATTCCATGTTAATAGGGATAAAGGTGATATAAGGTAGTAATGTTTATATGTAATACTGAATTAAGCTGGTATAAATATGATACTATCCTAATAAGTTAAAACGGATATGATAAATGTTAGAGTGAACACACAAATGCATACACACACATACACACAACTAAAAAATGGTGCAAAAAGCATTAATAAAATCAAAATACCACATTAAAACACAGTCATTTAATACCAAATAAAGCATTAAAGTGAAATAGAGGGAAAAAGACATGAGATATACAATGCAAAATATAAAATAGCAGACAGAAGTCTAACTATATCAGTAACATTATTACTGATAGATTAAACATTTCAATCAAATAATGATTTTAAGACCTAATTTTTACAAAATGATACAATTGTATGCAGGGTACATATTTTAGATTAGAAAACACAAATAGAATGAAAGTAAAAGGATGGAAAAGATTTATCAGGCAAACAGCAACCACAGGAACGCTGATATGACTATACTAATAGCAGATGAAATAGACATGAAAATAAAAATGAGTTACTAGAAATAAAGAGTATATTTTATAATAAACGAATCAATCCATCAGAAATGTATAACAGTTTAAAACATATATGCACCAAAAAAAAAAAAAATACAAAAATGTGTAAATTAAACACTAACAGAAATTAAGGGAGAACTAGATAATTTAACAATAATAGTGGGGGACTTCAATATTCCACACTTAATAATAGTATATAGTCAGAAATTCAACAATTAAATAGAATAATTGGAACATAAACTTATTCAGCCTAGCAGATATTCATAGCGCATTCCACCAACAACACAGGATATAGATTATTCTCAAGTGCAATTGAAGCATTATCCAGGATACATCATATTAAATGTCATAAAAGAAAACTGAATACATTTAAAATAATGGAAATAATACAAAGTATGTTCACCAACACAACGGAAGAAAATTAGAAATAAATAACAGGGAAAATGTGTACATACTTACAAATATATAAATATTAAACAACACACTCTCAAGTAGCCAACAAATTAATAAAATTTAAAAGGGAAATTATAATACATTAAGAAGGATAAAAATGAAAACACAGTATTTACAAACGGCAGTGAAAGCATTGTTTAGAGAGAAAATTATAGCTGTAAATGTCTATATTAAGTTAAAAAAAAGAATTCAAAACAAAAACTTAATTTTCTAACCTACGACATCAACAAAAGAGCAAACTAAACCTAAGACAAGCAGAGTAAAGTAAATAATAATTGCTAGATAGTAAAATAGAAAGTAGATGAAAAAATAAAATATAGAAAATCAGTGCAACCAAAAGATGGTTCTTTTAAAGATCAATAACATTGACAAAACTTTAAATTTACCAAGAAAGAAACGGAGAAGAGTGAAATAACTAGAATAATAAATGAAGGAGGAGCCATCACTACTGACATAACCAATTAAACAAAAAAAATGAAAAAGAAATATTGTGAACAATTGTATGCCAACAAACTAGATAACTTAGATATAATGGAAAAATCCCTAAAAGACAAACTATCAAATTTGACTCAAGAAGAAATACATAATTTGAATAGATCTATAAGAAATGAACAGACTGAATCCATATTCAAAAACCTATCCACAAGGAAAAAGCCATTCCTAGATACTTCACTAACCCAAGTCTTCCAAATATTTAAAGATAGTTCATGAAAATTGTTTACAAATTATTCTCTTCCACTTACCTCCCAAAATAGAATAATTCTGAACTAATTTAGTGAAACCAATATTACCATAAAACGACAATACCAACAAATCACCAACAAAAAATGAAATTTTTAAACCAATATCCCTTATGAAGCTGTATGCAAAAATCCTGCATAAAGCACTAGCAAACTGAGTCCAGAAATATACAAAAAGAATCATATACTCCAACCAAGTGGGGCTTACTTTAAAAATGAAGGTTGACTGTCCATCTAAAAATTAATTATTGAAATACAATTTACTAAAATAATAAATGAAAATCATGCTATAATCACAATAAATACAGAAAAAATATTTGGCAAAAGCCAGAAACTTTCAATAACAAAAGCACTAAAAAATAACAGTATGAATTAGCCAGGCGTGGTGGTGGGCGCCTGTAGTCCCAGCTACTCGGGAGGCTGAGGCAGGAGAATGGCGTAAACCCGGTAGGCGGAGCTTGCAGTGAGCAGAGATTGAGCCACTGCACTCCAGCCTGGGCTACAGAGCGAGACTCCGACTCAATAATAATAATAATAATAATAATAACAATATGAAGGAACTTCTCCACTCCCTGAAGCTGATGAAGGGAATTACGAAAACTCCACAACTAACATCATACTTACTTGAAAAAGATAGGATGCTTCCCACTTACAGTCAAGAAAAAGACAAGGATATATATTCTTGCTATTTTATTTAGCATTGTACTAGAGATTCTAGTTAGTCAAGAACAAAAAGAAAAGTAGATGAGAAAGGAGGAATTGAAACTATATTAACAGATCATGTGATTATATGTATAAAAGCATATGGAATTACTAAAAAATTAAAAGTAATGAGTTTAGCATGGTTGTAGGATACAGTATCAATATCAAAAAAATCAGTTACATTTCTATGCTCTTCCAGTGAATAGTTTTAAATGTATTTTTAAAAGTTTCAGTTATAATAGCATCAAAAATTTATATACCCAGGAATAAATTTAACAGAAAAACAAAGTGTCTACTCTAAAAACTACAAAGCATTGTTCAAAAAAACTAAAGAAAATCTAAGTAAATGAAAAAATACCCATATTCATAGATGAGAAGACCTAACATTGTTAAGATGGCAATGCTACTCAAACTGACCTCCAGATTTACTGCAATTCCTGTGAGAATCTTAGCTAACTTTTCTGTGGAAATTGACAAGTTGGTTCCTGTAGATTTGCAAGAGACCTAAAGAAACAAACAAAAAATGTTGAATCCTTGCATTAGACCATATAAAGAAATTAACTCAAAATGTATTAAACACCTAAATGTAAAACCAAAAATTACAAAATTCGTAGAATAAAACATAAGGGCCCATATTTTGGACCTTTGATTGGCAAAGGATTCTTAGATATGACACCAAAAGCAGTAGCCACTCACGCACACAAAAATCAGTAAACTGGAGTTAATCAAAATTAAAAACAGGACATCATCAAGAAAGTGAAATGTCAGTCCAGAGAATGGGAAAAAAATTATAAATCACATGTTTGAAAAGGAAATCATGATATGTGTATGCACAAATATATATGTCTATAATCATACAACTCAAAAATAAAAACAACGCAATTAAAAAATAGGCAAAAGATCTGAATAGACGTCTCTTCAAAGGAGATATACAGATGGTCAGTAGGTGTAGCCATGCTCCAAGGAACTAAAGAAAACAGTGAATAATAGAAAGTGTTGAGCTTACAGGAAGAGCAAATATGAAAAGAAACAGCTTGCTGATACTCTCTTTGCTTATAAGGTAACAAAACTGGCTGATACCAGTTAGAACCAATATGGACAACAGTGGTGTGTGCCAAATGAACTTGCTGACATCACAGCCTAAATTTCCATTGCCTGTGTCATATCACGCCCCCGCCCCCCCGCCCAAATTTGCAAATGCAACCCGTGAAGGGGCATGAAGAGACAACTGTGCCTATCAGGGAATTTTACAGGGGGAATGGGGTAGGGAGACAGTTTTGAACTGACCTTTTATCTCACCGTTGGTGGACACACAACAAAGCGTTTTCGTTTTGTTTTGCTTTGCCTTTTTTTTTTTTTTTTTCCTTTTTCTTTTTACGTTCTCAAAACCTAGTGCCATGGTCTTTGCTTCTATGTGCATCAGGCAGCGAGCCTTTTTCTCAACAACATAAGTACTCAAAAAGATTCTCCAAGTCATTATGCATCAGGGAAGTGCAAATCAAACTCACAGTTTGATACCAATTCACACTCACTCAGATTACTAGAATCAAAAAGTAAGATAACAACAAGTGTTGGCAATAATGTGGAAAAATGAAACCCTTCTATTCTGCTAAAAGGAATTTGAAAATGATAGAACTGCTTTAGAAAACGCTTTAACAGTTCTTAATATTATTAAATATAGAGTTCCATTATGACCCATCAATTTTACTTCTAGATGTATACCTGAGAAAAAGCACATATCTACATATACAGAATCTTGCATGCGAATTTTAAAATAGCATTATCCATAATAGCAAAAATGTAGAAATTGCTCACTTTGGCAACATACACAGACACAAAATTGTAATGATACACAGAAGATTAGTATGGCCTCTGTGCAAGGATGACAGGCAATTCATGAAGCATTCTATATTTTTATTTTATGTTTCAAAATAACTAAGAACATAATTAGACTGTTTGTAACACAAAGAATAAATGCTTGAAGAGATGGATACCCAATTTTTCATGACGTACTGCATACCTGTATCAAAATATCTCCTATACTCCATAAATATGTATACCTACTATAAACCACAACAGTTTTTAATGTGGAGATAAAAACACCTACCATATATCCACCATTTTGTTTTAATGTGGAAGGAAACCAAATGACTGTCAATGGAGAAATAGATAAACAAAATATGATGTATCAATTTAATGGAATATAATTCAATCATAAAAAATGAATGAAGTGCTGATACATGCTATAACATGGATGAACCTTGAAATCATTACACTAGGTGAAATAAGGTAGTAATAAAAGTTTTTCATACTGTATGATTCCATTCATATAAAAGTTCAGAATTGGGAAATCTATATATACAAAAAGCAGATTAATGCTTAGATCTATGCAGAAGTGTTTTGAAGGGAATGATAGCTAAACGTTACAGGGTTTTGGGTTTGTTTTTGAATGATGGAAATGTTTTAAAATTGATTACTGGAATGATTTCACATATGCATTAATGAACTGTCAACCATTAATATATACTTTATATACAGAAATTGTACAATATATAAATTATATCTCAACAAAGCTGTTTAAAAAGAATGGAATAGGATTGTTATAGGATGTAAGAATCTGTATGTGTGTGATTATCTTTATACAACTCTCTTTCTATTACATACTTACATTTTTATTTATCTGTGTTTCTATAAATGTCTGTATTTACATCTCTAGATATTTACCAATCTATCTACGTATGTGTCTATTCACCAATTTTTATATCTCTTTTGATTTTTAACTATAAATATTGTGCTGGGATATTTTTTTCTCTCTCTTTTTTTGGAACAGAATATTTTATTCTCAAGCTATCTATTAATATTCATTTGTTCTTTTATGCTCTAAGCTATGTTGCAATGCCTAGCACTAAATAGATTATGCTCAGTTTAATTAAAATTTATTAACGAGTAAATGCATAAATCTTTATTTTGAGCAATTATTTTCTACATTTAACCATTTAAATATCCTCATTAATTGAAAAAATGATGCTTATATCTATATCTCTCTATAAATATATAAATGTAGCTAGATCTAGATATATTCAAATCATTGCAAAAATTACTTATATGTAAAACTTACCTCAACTAAAGTTGTTAAATACACATGAAATTAAGTTGTTTTCTTACTTTAAAAAAATTACCTTGATGAAATAATAACTGGAATGCCAATTTGTTTACATTTTGCTTAATTATATACTAAACAATATCATTACTTTGATGTTAGTATTAGTATTGCTGATTTTTAATGTCAATAAGTTTATATATTCAGGACTTCATATTAGTTCCAAAGTGGAATCATTAATACTCATTAAAGGACAACCTCCTGTTAATGAGCAAAACATTTTCTTATACTCAGAAGCATAGACCTAGCAATGAAAGATAGTAGAAAAGATGAAAGATATGTGCAAAACTTCAAAATTTTTTTTTCTCCTTTAATTTAATGCTTTAATCCTGATCTTCAAAGAATCCTTCATATCTCACTAAAGTGTATTAGCGAAGGTGTATCAAGAAATGGTGTAACTGGGAAAACATTTGAGTGAAACTTTGACATTTAAAAACATTCTAATTCGGGATAGGATTTTAGGAAATCTGGAATGTAGTCATGTTTTGGTTCTAATTACCTGTTAGAAAATAAGTCTTGATTGTGATTTTTCCTCTGACTTATTCTTCAATTCCACTTTGTAATTGTAGGCTGCAGTACACTAGCACAAATGTGCTTAACAAAGCTTGTATCTGTCATAGCAACTAGAGAGTGGAGATTACTTCGCTGGCAGAATTGTGGACTATGGGAAAATAATCAAAGAAAAGAAGGTTTTCCTAAGCATGAGCTGACAAAGGTGCTCACTGATGTTTTATTCAGACAAAAGAGCTTTCTAGCATCCTTTCAGAGCTCACGTTTCAGAGTTGCTTACACCTTCTAGCAGAGGAAAAGACACTCATGAATGTAGCATTACCTGCCCAATGATTAAATCAAACAATCTTTTTTTTTTTCTCTTAATGACAAATTGAAGAATTTTTGTTTAAGGCATAGTACAGAAAAATATTTTTAATCTGCCTTTTAAAAATTTTATTTTATCATTGGTAGGAAAAGAAAGTCAAATCAAAAGAAAAAGTTTTCTAAATATTGGAAACTTATTTATCAAATAGGAAAAGTTATCTTGTCTAAGTAACTATGAATAAGAAATAGTGTGGAATTTCCACATTGGTGAAGTATAATGGTAACCAAAGACTATGGAAGTCTGTGAGTATGTAAGTAAAAAAACACCACATGTCTTAGTTGGGAAACCTTTGATAAACATTTATTTTCTGCAATTTTATACATTCAGATATAAGTTACAAAACCTCCAAATTTTCTGCAGACAAGTTGGAAGTTGTACTTATTTTTATTACATTTAAGAGAATAAATGGCAATACTTTCCTCATATTAGGTTTTAAAATGTGATGCATTAAGAGACTTTTATAGTCTCCTGTGCTAATCCTCATGTACTCTTTATTTTTAAAAGATCTCCTTTCTGAAAATGCCTTACATTCAGATTTGTCAACTTCATATTTTAAACTGATTATTTTATTTAAATATTATAATAGCATTATAATTTCATTGTAAATGCTGCTTAAATATCTAAATTTAATTATTTTGGATTTATGGATGATCTCTAATTCTAAATATTGAAACTTTGAAGCAAATATATGTAGGCTAAACTGAATAATAAAGTAAAAAGTCATGAAATTCTGAAGAGATTATGTGTTGCATATTATATTTGTTCTGTTGAATAATTGGTAGTGTTAATGATTACATTATATATACTATAATCCGACTGAAAACACAGGTCTGTTTTACTGATACAATTATAGTGAAGTACTGTGGCAAACATTATGACAGACTGTAACTTAACATCATTGGTTCAAAATTACCATAATTATATTAGTCTGAATAGTAATTTAAACATTAATTCTGAACCTAAATTGCATTAATATTATTTAAGTAAATATCAGATTAATTTAAAATCAATTTTAATATTTTGCCTATTATCTATATTAATACCTTATTTTACTTTTTATTTTTAGTTCTATAAATGAATTTAATGTTCTTCAATATCAGTTCTATTTGAAAAGTTATAAACGTGTCAATTTGAAATAAACCCTTGCATCTCCCTTGCTTCCTGCTCCCTGTATATCTTTTTCCAGTCAATCATCCAGTCTAATTTTAGTTACTTACAGGTTTCTAACTGTTCCATTTATTTCCGAGAACTATACTGTTGGTACCACATGTCTACTTTTTTATACTAGACATAATTATACCTTGATATTAAATTGTCCCTCATAAAGTACAAAATGTATATTAAGCATATTTGTAAGATGAAGAAAGCAAGTATTTTTATCCCTGTTTTACAGATAAGGTAAAAGTTTCAGAGATGTTAAATGACTTCAACTACTCACATGCTGAGAAAGTGGATGATGATTCCAGATCCTGAGTCTAAGGCTCTTTTTCTAAAGTGAAAGACACCAAGTAAAATAGAAAATATTCAGAGTGATTATTTGAATAATTGATTTTTATAGCTGGCATTCTTTACATTTACTTTCCCAACAGAAGGAGATGAATTCACATCTTTGAACACAAATGAAGGGGAAAACCAAACAAAACAGAATCAATATATAAAAAAAATACTTTTAAATGTCAGACTTTCATCCTTTAAAATCATTAAGCATATGGGAAGAAATCAATGCTGTACTCATTCAAAATCAATAAATGGCTTTTCCTCTTCACTTTATTTGTGTTGTTTGTTTTTAAGATTTGTTTTATTTTTAAAATATTTCTAACATAGCCATAAACAGTTTTAAAAATTACCAGTACATAAAAAAAGTTTTCTATGTCAATATCCTCCTTTAGCTGTCCCTCTAGTATTACAGTGGCATGGAGCAAGATAAAATTTTAGCATGGCTGGGCGCGGTGGCTCACGCCTGTAATCCCAGCACCTTGGGAGGCCAAGGCGGGTGGATCACAAGGTCAGGAGCTCGAGACCATCCTGGCTAACACGGTGAAACTCTGTCTCTACTAAAAAAAATACGAAAAATTAGCTGAGCGTGGTGGCAGGCGCCTGTAGTCCCAGTTACTCGGGAGGCTGAGGCAGGAGAATGGCGTGAACCCGGGAGGTGGAGCTTACAGTGAGCCTAGATCGCACCACTGCACTCCAGCCTGGGTGACAGAGCAAGACTCCATCTCAAAAACAAAAACAAAAACAAAAACAAAAAAATTTAACATGACCCAAAAAGAGATGTGGTCTTTTTATTATACTGTAAATAATTGCTTAATATTATCCAATATCCAGTAAACATTCTGATTTCCAATTGTCACTACACAAATATTAATAACAGCGTGTTTGAATCAACATGGAAACACACCCAGTCATTTTCTTTGGTTGATGAATGTCTGGATTTTCTTTAGTCTACATTTTCCCATTTTTGTTTCTTTCTCTCTGTGTGTCTTTTTCTTTCCTTACAATTTTTTTTTAGCCTCCTTGTAATCTGCTTTACTTGAGAGAGTTAAATATTCTGAGTTTAGATTTTGCTGCGTGAATTCCTGTGGCATGGCTGCAAATTAAAAGTCATATCAAAGTGTTTGAAAAAATTAAGTTTTTTTGTGTGTATGAGGGGAGCAGGGAAACTACATCTTATGCTGCTTCCATCACTGTCTGAAATATCAGGTCTTTCTTTGTGTATTTTACTCATTTTGAAATGTGAAGTTATATTTTTCATTCCTTTTCTGCACATGTCTGTGTTGACTTTTATACAAATATTGTGCTTCTTATTCTCATTGTATATAGTTCAGCTACAATTTCATTTTTTGGTACTCATAATACTTAAAGTTAATTTTTCTAAA